ATGAAATATTCAAGGAAAGTATAAGTATGAATGGATGAGGGAAATACCTAAGAATTGCTGGGAAGCATAATCCATTTCAGGTGAAATCCATTTCAGGGTTTTCATGAACTGAAAATGAGAAAAGACATCACAACTGTGTGTTTTCCTTTAGTCACAGGGCTAGACAGATTTAGATAAGAATTTTATTATTTATTTATGCATGTATTTATGTATTTGTTTGACTGAGCTGGGTATTTGTTGCAGCATGTGGGATCTTTAGTTGCAGCATGCAGGATTTAATTACATGACCAGGTGTCCAACCCAAGCCCCTGGCATTGGGAATGCAGAGTCTTAGCCACTGGACCACCAAGGAAGTCCCTAGATGGGAGTTTTAAATGTAACTAGGTCTATGGTTTAGGCAAACAAGTAAGAAAAGGAATAGGACCAAACTTATTGTAGGTGTATGCATGGGAGTGATAACCATTAACTGTGGAATTTAATCTAGTTAGTAGGGAAGGGAGAACACAGAGTTGGGGGGTCAAGGTCACTGAAACGTGGCAGAGTTAACGGACTGTAGGTGTGATGAGTTAGAAGGATTTTTGGAGTTTTGTGATGAGTGAGTTGAAATATGAGAGGTGGTATTTGAAAGTATGTTTGAAATTGACATTAGGAAGGGGTTTCAGTTATTAGTAAAGGCTAGTTGTATCATGTGAATCATGTTGGTGAGAGGCAGGGGGTAGGCTGGAGGCAAGGTCACTGGAGGAGGTTCACCTCCATCAGGACGAAAGTAAATCTTGGTTTGTAAGAGTTCAAGCTATTAGGTCTGTCTTTGAAGGAAAAGGGATTATTTGTAAAGAAGTTGGTAGATTTCTACCCAAAGGCTCTTGATCTAATAGGAAGACTGAGAGCGTTTCGGTTAATCTAAGATCTTGGGGGACGAATCTGGATCTGGGCAACACTGGGTGCCAAGGCCCTGCGTGTTGCTAGGCAACTGAGAAAAGCCGCCAGCCTAGTTCTGGTCTTTCCTGTCTGCGACCCACTTTGGGTCTCTGGCCGCTTTGACTCCAGCGTTGTGGGGGAGGATCTGGCCAGAGGGGTCTGCGAGCCAGAGGCTCAGGGCCCAGAGGTAGGTGGGGCAGTTAGGAGTTCCAGGACTTCCTGGTCCCACTGAAGGGCTGCCTCCTGCACGGCCAAGAAGAAGGTTTTCACCTCACGGAGAAGGAAGGGTGAGCCCCGCCGTTCCTGCTCACCCCTGCTTGTAGGCAGATGGGCCAGTATCGGTCTCCCCGCCCAATCAGGCTGCACCCTTCGAGATAAGAATTTAAAGACACTTCACAGAGTTGCCTCAGTCGGGGATTTAGAGAAGGTGAAGGAGTATCTTCAGCTCAAGGAGCATGATGTGAACACGCGGGACAGAGATCTCAGGTGACCAGGGTGACTGAAGGGCAGCATGGGGCGGGCGGGGGGAAGCTGGGCCCACTGGGCCCTCTAACTGGAACCACGACTTGTCTGGGCTCCCCCACTGCTTGTCAGTCCATATTTCCCACAGCAGAGAGGTCTGGTAACCGTTGGCAGAGGGTCACACCCACAACGTTCAGCTTCTTCCCTTTAGAAAGGCTCTTCTGGATATCTGAGGGCGTCTGCCTTAATCTCCACTGCTTACTCCACTCTCTCCCCTACCTCCGGTTTGTCCCTGTGACAAATCTTGTCCCTAGCCACTAAGATTTTCCATGTTCTTAACGTACTAATAGAAAAAGAGTAGAGGCAACTTTTCAGAATAGTTAAGATTTTAAGACTCTGAAAGAGCAAAACTTTTTAATGTAGCTCTCCTATGAAAAAACTTTTTTTTAGTTACAGAGGATATTCAAAAAGCTCATCAGCAACCACTTACTGCAAAAACAAAACTAATTTTATAAAGAAATGAAGAACAGAAAAGAACAGAAAATGTGTTCTATATGTGCCTCCCTTAAATCTTGTGGGGAGTTTTCATGTCATTGAGTGTGTAAAATGTCATGTTTCATCACTATGGTTAGAGGATTTTGTGTTAACTTATGGATAGGTTTACCTCCCCTTTTAATAAAATCAGAGTTATCTAATTTATCTGACTTTTATCCTGTACCACTGCTTTGAATTTCTTTACAAGGTCATGAATAACCTCAGCATGACTTTATTCAGTGGTCAGTTCTCAGTCTTACCTGGGAGGCATCTCAGCCAAGTCTCTTACCTCCTTATCAATAGTATTTGAAATACTGTATTGTCTTGCGGCACAGCTGGTTCACCTGGCCTTTGTCCTACTTTTGGTTCAGTTCTTTTTAGACTCTTTTGCTGGTTTCGCTTCATCTTCCTGACTGGTTAATATTTGAAGCCTCAGACCTTGAAATGATTCTCTTTCTCTTAATCCTCACTTGACTGGTGAAGAGAGATCGTCTGTATCTGATTTCCAATGCTTCCCAACATTTTATCTCCAGCTAGACGTCCCCTTGAACTCTAGACTCACATAAACAAATGCCTACATTATCACTTGGATATCGCATAGACTGTGGTGTTCTTGTGAATGTTTAATAACAGGCTTTTGAGTTGGGGTGGGGTTGGGGAGAAGGGAAGAGAAGCCCTGATTTCAAGCTACAAATGTGATGTCAATTGGCTTGAGTAACTGCTGAGAATTTAACAGTCAGCTTGTGAGGGCCACTAGCCTCACTCCGTCACTGCTCTGGGATCTCACATATCCCCATACTGCGTTCCTGTTACTTCTCAGATCTGCTCTTCTCTTCCTGTAAATGCCAGATCCTCTCTTTCAGTTGTTTAGACCAGAACCCCTAGAGTCCTTCTTGACTAATCTCATTCTTTCACATCCTCCATTTCTTTAAACAGGAAATCTTGGTTTTACCTTCAAAATAGATCTAAAATCTAGCCGTTTCTTGCCACCTTCACAGTTACCACCCTAATCAAAGCCGCTATCATACTTTGATGAGAATTACTGCAATGGTCTCCCAGGTAGTTTTCTGTCTTCTAACATTTTCAGTTTATTCTCCACACATTAGCCAGAATGATCCTCTAAAGTGTAAGTGAAGTGATGTCTTTCCTTGCCTAAACAACATCCATTGGCTTTTCTTCTCATTAGGGTTAAAAGCTAAAGTCCTTCCAAGGCTCATAAGCCCTACACAGCCTTCGCCCCCGCTTCTTGTTCTCTCTCTGATCTTGCCTCCTACAACTCTCCCTTTCACTCATCTCCAGTTCCCCTTGCCTTTTTAGTGTTCCACAGAAATGCCAGACATGTAGTTAGAGCCTTTGGACTGGCTGGTTCCTTTGCCTGGAGTTCTTTTCCCTCCCAGATAGTCACATGGCTTGATCTCACTTCCTTTGGGTTTGTCACCATATCAGTAAAGGCTTCCTTGGCTACACTACCTACAATTGAATCCCCTCGCCAAGCTGACATTTTCTGTTCCTCTTCCCTGCCTGCTTTTTCCCTTTAGCACTTAATACTGTCTGTTGTTCCTTGGATTTTTTTTGTTGCCCTCTTCCGCTAGCCAGGTGTGATTCATAAGATCAGGTATTTTTGTTTTGTTTGCTGCTGTTTCTTCATCACCTACAACCTTGCCTAAGCCATAGTATTTAATAAATATTTTTGATGAATGAATACATACATATGTATCTATGCATATAAATATAATTTAAAGATATCACTCAGCAATAAAATGATATCTCATTAATATAAGAAATGAAATTACTGACACCTGCAGCAACATGGATGAATCTCAAAAGTGTCATGCTAATTCAAAGAAATCAGATAATAAAGACTATATATCAAGTGACTCCTTTTCTATGAAATTCTCGAAAGGCAAAAGTATAGCCAAGGAAAGCAAACCAGAAGTTACCAGGTGCTTCATATAGGGACTGGAGGAACGAGATTGATTCTAAAGGGATATGAGTGATAGAAACGTTATCATGTTTATGGTGGCCATTATATGACTCTATATTGGTCAAAACTCATAAAATTGTACATTTAAACTTTTTGTATATCATACCTGAATAAAGCTGAATAAAAAAGTCTCAAACTGTATATTCTATTTGAATATTTTTGTGTGTGTAGAAAGACTGAGAATGGGATAAAATATGAGTGGATACATACTAAAGTTAAAATCACTATTTCTGAAGAGTAGGTGAGATTTGGGCAGGGGAAGTAGGGAGAGTAAGAATGGTTATGGGAGACACACTTTGTGCTGTTTAATTTTTTTAAAGTGATTTTAGTGATTTGTATAATGCTGCATAAACTCATTTTATAAGCATTATGCTAAAGGTCTCTGATGCCTCATGTAGGTGTATGTACATATAAATAATGGCCTTAGGAAATAATATTCTATATATGTTTTCTAGTAAACATAATGATACTAAAAGTGGAAGTTTCTGGTTAGGAGAGAACAAGAGAAACACCATGACAGTTAATGAGCGGGTTGTTCTGTAGGCCACAGTAGCCCAGTAGGAAGAACGTTGTTTTGGGAATAAAAATCTGAATTTGCAGCCTGTCCTGCATTTGTATGACCTTGACCCTAAATCTCATCTTGTCAAATCAGAATTATTACTAGATAAGTGTTTTTTAAACCAAGATCTGCAAGCCCTATTGCAAACTGTTTCTTATTAAACCAGAAGAGCTCCTTATTCATGTCCTTTGTTTATTTGGCTTATATTTATGTTTTTATTTTAAAAGTAATGTACCTAATAAGTATAAAAATGAATGGAAGATGTCTAATATCTCTCCCAGCAATAAAATTAAATTACTTCTTTTTTTTTTTTTTTTTATAAAAAGTCCCTCAGATCTGTAGATAGCCTGGTCAGTGAAGGCTCAATTCCAAATGAACACTTTCTACCGTACTACTCAAACCGAGATTAGATCTAAAGTGCTAGTTTACAGTTGAAAGTAGTGATCTAGTGTGAGGTAGCTTCCTTGGTTACTTCTTCACTCACCCTGAATTCTAAGTTATCATCAAGAGCCCAAGTTGGTTGATAAGGGGGGTGTTCTCACGATGACCTCATTTAAGACGGCAGCTATGTTCTGGTCTTGCACCCCGTGTAGCAGGTAGCACTTCTCTTTTCAGCTTCCAGAATAGTGACCCTTCATGGATATCTGGATATCTGATATCTGGATATCTGAGTCACTCCTTTTGCTAAAGTTCAGTTAAAGATTTCTGGGATCTGATAATTCTTCATTTGGCCACAATCTCTGCTGACAGTTCTTTCACTGGTATATGAGAGAGTGAGAGACTGGGAGGAAACAAAACTTGGATCAAACAGTAGGACACCAGTTGACCTAAAACCCTAGAAACCAGAACGAGGCCTTGCAGGGATTTAAATTTCTTGTAAGGACCATGAGTTAAAAGGTAACAATATAAATCAGAGTCTGCACTTTGCAATATGATACACTAATAAAAGTTGTGTATTTTTGAGAAATGGAATAATACTCTTGGTTTTAAAGTGTGTCACTAATATATTTGTAATACATGTTTTGCATTCAGCTATTTCAAAAAATAGGATGGTTTTTGACATTAGGTGAAAAAGCATTGATATTGTAGAAGCTCTTGTATGTGTACACATTTGGTAAATGATCATAACAAAGGCATTACTTGCTGCATATTTCAATATTCCATATTCTTAGTTCTCTGGAATTAAGACCAGTTAAATCTAAAACTTAAAATGAAATGGAGGCAATCTGTATATTTTTGAGACTTTTTGTCTTTTTAAGCCAGGATGACTCATTTGAGTCAAATATTCTGAGTAAAAATCTTTTAAAGACTATTTTGAAGGTTGCATAATATTATAACCTTTGTAAGGTTTCATGCCTACTCAGGATAGATTAGTCTTGTTTTCAAATTTTGTGTAAAAGACCACAGGACTATATCACTCAATACATCCTTAAAAAACAGAAGCTTTCTTAGCTATTTTATTTTATTGACTCTATGGTTGATTTCCTATGTTCCTTGGGGCATATAGATGGGCTCTGAGATCTTTATAAAAGTTTCATTGTCATGTAGGGTTTAGACTTAAGTTGGAAGAGTGAAATATTCAGCAGGCATTCATCAGCTACTTTTGGAAAACCTACTGGGAATTACCCAAATGCCATTTACTTTCTCTCAGAGAAAGAGAAATTGGTGTTGTTTTTTCTTATTTTCATGAAAAAAGGAAACTGGAGCTGGAGAGAGGTAGATCTAAAGATTGAGTAAAAACCACCTAAGTTCCTTGAGACTAAATTTTTGAGATAGGTCTAACAGTAGGTGAAGGAGACAGATCAAAATATTTGTTAAGATTTGGTATGTTATTACAAGGAGTTATTTTAGGTCAGCTTAAAGCCTTTGGGCCCTATATATTTAGGTTGAAGACTGGAGAAATTTCCTATTACATAAGAAAGTTTACCTTTAAGCCAAATTATGGATGTCAACTAAAAGGCTGGTCAGTGCTTTTCCTGTGTTGTAATTTCTGAGAAATCAAATTAGTTATCAGAAGTTTGTTTGGTAAGGATGGAATCACAGCAAACAAAGCAGATCATTTTGAGGGATATTTTCATCTAGATCGTGATGTCTGAGGAATCATTTTTGTTCTACACAAAAACAAAGTAATCCTTTCCAATGACTGAGAAATGTGGGTTCCTTAAATTCACATTTTCTTTACCATGGAGGATGTTAATCAAGAATAGCTTCTGGTTTCAGTCTATCATCTAGCTGACCATCCTTTTTCTGATTAGAGTCTTTCTTCAGACAGAATAATATAATTGGTTAGGTTTCTGTTTTTTTTTGTATTATGCTTAATCTTGCTTTCCAGAGATTATATTCAGATAACCTTTGATTGGAGTTTGTGTATTTCCAAATTGGTCAAAATTGTTTTTATATATTTTTAAATTTTCTCCCATAAATGGTAAATTATATCATCATTTATAGATTTTATGTCTAACTCGTTGGAAGTTACCTTATTTTCAAGTCCTTATGGGCTACCTTTTGCTCCTCTTAGTGTAAATAACAGTTCTGTTTAGGTACATGCCCATAAAGTACTTTTGAGAATCTAAAATAAAATGGAAAATGGCATCTATCTTTTGTTTAGGACCTGAGCTATCTATATATAGATTTTATATTCTAAAATTTTCTTTAAGTAAGGATATAATGATATCACCTTCACAAATAAATAAAAGTCTATTGAGGTCTAGTTCAGGCTAAAAACGACACAGTTTAAAAGGAGTCATTAGTACCTGTTATGTTATACTTCATGAATATGTGCTTGACTTCTTGGAGGCTACATAGAATATGGCTCTTTGAGAAGAAAAAAATATTTTAATAATTAAAAATTAGGCTGAGATCTACAACTTAAAGAGAGCCCTTAGGCTTTTCACCTTTGTGTTCACTTCTTAGAGCAAATATCAACTTAAATAGCTGAGCAAAGAGAAATACACACAACTTAGGTATAGCATGCTGTGGAACAGGGGTTCCAAGCATAGCCAATGTCCCTTCTTCCTATTAGCTGGCACATGTATCTTAGGTTTTGGAGATCATTTCTAGATTTTTTGGATATCTAATTTTATCATTCTTTCCAAGGCTTAGACTCACTTTGGTGTTTGAAGAAAGCTATTTTTTTTTAACATAAATAAATTCTCTTGGAAGTAAAACCAGTTAAATAAGTATCTTCAGGGCATTTACATAGCCCTTTTAATTCAGTAAAAATTATAATTAATATGAATTTTATGTAAATACAAGTAAACATATGAAGCGAATCAGTCAGCTCAGTTGCTAAGTCATGTCTGATTCTTTGCGACCTCATGGACCCCTTACCAGGCCTCCTTGTCAATCACCAGCTCCTGGAGCTTGCCCAAACTCATGTCCATCAAGATGGTGATGCCATTCAACCATCTCATTCTCTGTTGTTCCCTTCTCCTCCTGCCTTCAGTCTTTCCCAGCATCAGGGTCTTTTCTAGTGAGTCATCTGAAGGTATATGAAGCAAATACCTTAACAGTATATGATCTGGCACGTTCTTTGGCATACTAGGTAACTTCTCAAACTAGGCCTTATCTCTAACTTGTGCTTCATTATGTCGATACAGAACACCTTTGCACCTGGCCTGTGCTAATGGATATTCAAATACTGTCTCTCTTTTAACTGAGAAACAGTGCAAAGTAAATGTCTGGGATGGTGAAAACAGGTCTCCATTGACTAAGGTGTGTTGATTTTTCCTTTTTGATTGAATTGCATTTGAGTTCTTCTCCTAGTTAACCTTTGTTATATTTCATATTTTAGGACATAGTATTAAATATTAGTTTAATATATCAGATCCTAACTAGTAAATTGGTTAGCCATCTGTTGTTTTTGTGTTGGCAGGCAGTACCATGTGACAAGGAGAGCTGTGCTACTGTTCTTCTAGAACACAGTGCAGACCCCAATCTGGTGGATTTAGATGGCAACACTGCTCTTCATTTTGCTGCCTGTTGTCAAAGTGTCTCATTAGCTGCAAAACTGCTGAAACACAAAGCTAACCTTGAGGCTCAAAATAAGGTAGTCTTCTGTTAAAAACGGTACCTGGTATTTTAGAAAGCAGTGAAAGAAGATATTCATTGCGGATAATTTATATCGGTTGAGACATATGTTATAAAGCATGAGTTTTACAAAATGAAATTAGGGAGAAGGAGAGGAGAATGAGATTATCAAATACTGATAAGTTTTCTTTTTTAAAAAAAACTTTCTCTGTTTCATTTTAGATTATAATCCTGACCTCCAAAGCAACATTATGTTTAACAATTAAAACTGTTTAAAGGACCACATCAAATGAGAAATACTTGATTTCACTATAAATGAACATTGATTAGAAATCATAAAGACTATATCTTTTTCTATTTTATTTATATACTCATGAATAATTATAAGAGTAGAGTAAAATTAGAAAGGCACTTGTTATACTAAAAGTAATCCAAGTCCCCTATTAAGATATGGATAATTGATGAGCATACCTTTTTAAGCTTCCTAACACTTTAGTTCACTGATATTTTATCCTCATTGCAGGGCAAAATAAGTGCCAGCCTTGGAAGTTTAAATGAAACCCTAGGAAACCAACTGTGTATTGTGAATTAATGTTTTGTAATGTTTATATATATTCTAGGTGCTCATTAATTAAAAGTTCCATACTGCTCTTGCCTACAATTTTAATTAAGCCTGAAGTAGAAACTCTCATTTTATTTTTTAACTGGTTAACAATATTTTATGTTTTTATTATTTTATTTGTGTGTGTATGTGTTAGTAGCTCAGTTGTGTCTGACTCTTTGTGACCCCAAGGACTGTAGCCCACCAGGCTCCTCTGTCCATGGAATTCTCCAGGCAAGAATACTGGAGTGAGTAGCTATTCCCTTCTCCAGGGCATCTTCCTGACCCAGGGATCAAACTCGTGTCTTTAGCATGGCAGGCAGATTCTTAACTGTCTGAGACACCAGGGAAGCCCTTTATTTATTTACTTATTTAATTAATTTATTTTTATATATTATTATAATTTTATTTTATTTTTTGAGTGGCATGTATGTGCTTGCTGAGTTGCTTCAATCTGACTCTTTGTGACCCCATGAACTGTAGCCCGCCAATGAGACCGTGGGATTCTCCAGGCAGGAATACTAGAGTGGATTGCCAAGCCCTCTTCCAGGGGATCTTTCCAACCCAGGGATCAAATCCACATATTTTACATCTTCTGCAGTGGCAGGCAGGTTTTTTAGTACTAGTGCTTCTTGAGAAGCCCCGGCATATATGTTTATAAATATATACGTGTATGTGTGTGTTAGCCCCTCAGTTGTGTCTCACTCTTTGCAACCCCATATACTGTAGCCCACCAGACTCCTCTGTCCATGTATATGTTCTTTTTTAGATTATTTTTCATTTTAATCTATTATAAGATATGACAGAGGTTTCTTATAAGCACACTAATTTTTTAAATTGAACTTAAATCTAAAAGGCATGTAATGTTGGTACAGTAGTTAAAGTAATCATTTTAAAATATTTTTTCCAGGATGGGTATACTCCACTTCTACTTGCCATTGCTGAAAATAATGCAGAAATGGTAGAATTTCTTTTGAAGAGTGAGGCAGATGTGAATGCTTCAGATAAGAATCAAAGGTATAATTAATGCTAAATAAGATCATATAACCATAGCTATCTAATAGGAATACACACACACACACACACATACACACACACACACACGTGTGTGTTAAATGCTAGGTTATATTTCTTAAATATACCAGGCCGCTTTTGCCCACAATTTGAATTAAGCCTATATTATATATGTATATAAGACATATATCTGATATTGAAAAGATTTGGCCATAGGATTTTGGACAAATTATCTAGATTCTAGGATCTATCTTTCTATCTGTAAAATCAAACAATTGGGCCAGATTTTTAGGTTGTTGTTGCTCTTTTTCTTTTTTTTTTTTTAATAACATTAGAATCTTCTGCTGCTGCTGCTGCTAAGTCGCTTCAGTCGTATCCGACTCTGTGCGACCCCATAGGCGGCAGGCCACCAGTCTCCCCAGTCCCTGGGATTCTCTGGGCAAGAATACTGGAGTGGGTTGCCATTAGAATCTTCTACAGAAACCCAATTTATAAATCCCATATGCTGTAGTTAAATGGAGATGGGGACTCAGAGTCCCAGACACTCCTCTCCATAGAATTTTGGACACATTTCCTGGAAAACATTACAGTTCTCAGGAGCAGGGATTGGAAACCACCAAACTAGATGTTTCTAGGGACTCTTATTTTCAGACTCCGTAATATACATTATCTGTGATTACCGCACCTTTTTGAGAAGATTTGCCCCACAATTTACACTCTTGCCCTGACTCTTTTCCTGATCATACATTTGAACAGTAAATTTAGAAGACTAACTTTTTAAGAAATAAAAGATATTGTTAAGATTCATAAATGGACATATATTTATATCTCTTGCTCCAGAACAGCCCTTATGATTGCTCTCAGTGATGAACCAAGTTTAGTCAATCTTCTTCTTCAGCAAGAAGTGGACCTATCTTGCCAAGATATTTATGGATTCACAGCTGAGGAATATGCATCTTTCAATGGTTTTACCATGTAAGTGATATTGTGTATCTTTTAACAATTGTGTGAAATTTGAGCATGAGGAAAGAAACAGTAGCCCCGAAGTACAAAGCCCACAGTAGGGGTAAACACATGATGAACTCTGGACACATGCATCCAGGGATGCTTGATTTCCCCATCAGTATAAGAACCACAGGGTCTTCTATTGGGGGGAATAGAGACTTCTCTCTTAAAGGGCGCACACACAATCTCACACTCTCCAGGACTCAGGGCAGAAGCAGTAACTTGAAAGGAGCTTAAGTCAGAACAGCTGCTGTTCTTGGATAATCTCCAGGAGAGACAGGAGGCAATCAGAGGTCATCTTGGGGACTCAGACACTGGGGCAGCCATTTTGGGGAGCTCATTCTATCACCTGGACACTGGTGCTGGCAAGCACCATTTTGGAATTCTCCCTCTGGCTTATTAGCCCCAGGACCCAGGGCAGCCCTGGCCCAGCGGTCTGCAGGCACCAGTGCTGGATGCCTCAGGTCAAACAACTGCCTGGCCAGGGACACAGCCCCACCCACACCAGACAGGCTACTTGAAGGCCAACAGATATATAGATAAAGATATAGCATATCGATTACAGTGTATAAGCGAGCTCTTCTTTCTTGAGGTTTTAACAAAATAACTTATTCATATATTCCTTATGGAATAAATATGTAAAATGAACAAGAAAAAAACAAACCAAAGACACCCCTGAGCCCACAGCTGTCCCTAGACAGGGCCATGCCCACAGAAAGCACAGACCCAGACCCACACTCCAGTGCATAGGTACTAGACCTGGGATTCCCCAGAGCCCTCCAGCTAGAGACCCTGGGATCCAGCTCCACCCACCAGTGGGTGGACACTAGCTGCAAGACAGCAGCAGCCCTGCAGTCTGCAGCCCAGGTCCACCCACTAGCAAGCATGCTTTAGCTTCGGGACAGACCAGCATGCAGACAGCAGCCATAAGACAACCACAGCCCTGCAGCCTGCCAATCTGGCCTGTCCATCTGCTGTTTAACACAAGCCTGAGGACACCCTGGGCCCTGTGGCCAGCTGTGTCAGGAAGTGGCCCCAGCCACCACCCACCATGAGCAGAGCGATTCGATACCAGCTCTGGGACTCCTGGACCCTGCAACCAGGCCCAAGGATCCAACTCTGCCCACCAGTAGACTGGCACTTGCCCCAGGACCTGGCTTTACCCAACAGCAGGGAGGCAAGAGCCCTGGGGTCTCCTGGACCCTGACTTTACCCGTAGGTTCCCCCAGAGTTCATTAGTTAGCTACCTCATAGCATGGCTCTGCCAACCAATGAGGCAGGGCCTGGCAACTAACCAGGCCAGGGGCCAACCAAGCCCAGCAGACTGCCCATAGTAATCAGTCTGCCACGATAGAAGGACCCATACACTCCACAAGGGGGGTACCCCTAGAGCATACAGCTCTGGTGCTAAGAGGGGAGCACACTTCTGGGGTGCACAGGCCTACAAAAGGCCACTTATCAAAGGAAATGTAACCAAACTACCAAATACATAAAAATAAAAACAGCAAGTTATGCAAAATGAGGTAAAAAGGAACATGTTCCAAGTGAAGGAACAAGGTAAAACCACAGAAGAGGAACTACATGAAGCAGGTGGGGAATCTACCTGAGAAAGATTTCAGGGTAGTGATCATAACAGTGATCAAAGAACCTAGGGGAAGGATGCACAGACTGAGCAGTTAGAAGTTTTTAACAAGGAGTTAGAAAATAAGGACCAACCAACCAGAGCTGAAGAATACACTGACTAAATTTAAAAATCCAGTAGAAGGAAATAATAGTAGACTAAATGTTGCAGGTCAGTGAGCTGGAAGATAGAGTTGAAGAAATCACTGATTCTGAACAGGAGAAAAAATGAGAGAGAGAGACAAATGACAATTTTAAGAGCTCTCTGGGACAACATTAAGCACACTAATATTCACATTATAGGGGTGCCATAAAGAGAAGAGAGAGAGATTAAGAGGCTGAGAACATATTTAAAGACATAATAGCTTAAAACTTACCTAACCTGGGAAAGGAAACAGCATCCAAGTCAAGGAAGGGCAGAGTGTCCCATACAGGATTAACCCGAACAGGAACATACCAAAACAGCTTAGTGAAAGTTGCTAGTTATGTCTGACTCTTTGAGACCCCATGGACTATACAGTCCATGGAATTCTCCAGGCCAGAATACTGGAGTGGGTAGCCTTTCCCTTCTCCAGGGGATCTTCCCAACCCAGGTCTCCCACATTGCAGGCAAATTCTTTACCAGCTGAGCCACAAGGGAAGCCCCAAGACAGACTGAAATTAAAACGGCAAAAACTAAAGATAAAGGATAGTGGTGGTTGCTTAGTTGCTAAGTCGTGATTGACTCTTGTGAACCCATAGACTGTAGCCTGCCAGGCTCCTCTGTCCATGGGATTCTCCAGGCAGGAATACTGGAGTGGTTTGCTATTTCCTTCTCCAGGGTATCTTTCTGACTCAGGGATTGAACCTGTGTCTCCTGCATTGCAGGCAGACTCTACCTCTGAGCCACAGGGTAAGCCCAAGATAAGGGAAGCCCAAAGATAAAGAATATTTAAAAAACAGCAAGGGAATAGCAACAAGTTATATACCAGGGAACTCCCATAAATGACTCTTCAGCAGAAACTCTGCAGGCCAGAGGGGAGTGGCACAACATATTTAAAGTGATGAAAGGGAAAAATCTACAACCAAGATTACATGGTAAGGCTCTCATTCAGATTTGATGGAGAGATCAAAAGTTTTATAAACAAGCAAAAGGTAGAAGAGTTCGGCCCCACTAAACAAGAAATGTTAAAGGAGCTTCTCTAAATGAAAAAGAAGAGGCCACGACTAGAAACATGAAAATTATGAAGGGAAAAAGCACATCAGTAATTTAAGTGTAAATGAATGACTATGGAATTTTTATCATCTCAATATTACTTTAATATTTTTAGTGTTGAAAATTATAAGAGCATTATATTATTGTTCTTTTTCCAAAAAGTTAAGAGGGGACAGAGAGATAATAACTTCCTAACGACTAAGCAGTTACCTTTAGGATATGAGAACTATCAGCATTTATTAAAAAATGCAAATAAAGTTAAACTGCAATCTAACGCCCTTATCCTCTTTTTTGTTTATGCCTTTCTTTTGTGATGGGAACTGAGCTTTTTGTAATTGTGACTTCTGCTGGGTAACAGCTATTGCCTATCTGCAGCCTCTGCTTTTTATTATCATTTGTTAGCTTGCTTTCCTGGTACATAGGGTCTACTACTTGGTAAGAGTGGAAGCCTAGAATATGTTTATCATATACATAGCTTTTAAAAAAAATAAAGGAAAGTGTTTCAAATGAGAGAATTATATTTAAATATTTGTTTTACAGTTAGCTTTAACCCATACATTGCCTCATTCCTGTCACTGAAATTCTGAAATCACATGCTTATTAATGAGTGGCTAGAATGGGCTCTTTTCAGGCATGCAGACAAGGTTTCTTTTTTGCTAGATATTGTTCAGTCTCAGACTGTGCATTGGGGTGGGCCCTAATCCTCTCTGACTGGTGTCCTTATAAAAGGAGATTAGGAATGCAGAGACACACAGAGGACAGCAAGAAGACAGTTATCTACTAGCCAAGGGGAGAGGCGTGTAACAGTTAGAGCCTTCCTGCATGGCCCTCAGGGAACCAGCCTTGCTGACACCTTGATCTTGGACTTCCAGTCTCCAGAATTGTGAGAAAATAAATTTCTGTTGTTTAAGCTAACCAGTCTGTGGTATTTTGTTACAGCAGCCCTAGCAATCTGTATACCAAGTATAACCTAAAGCCACTTTTTCTACCTTGTGAGTGGTTTTTTGTGGTTACAGGAAGAAAAGAAGTGCCAGAGAATGGGAATATCTAAAATAAAAATGGTATCTATTGATGGAGTGACTTGAGGTTGTGGTCAGCAGTTGAGTGTACAATGTAATTGGGAAGGCATTATTAGCTAACAACCATTGTTTTCACTTGAGAATTATATGTTATGAATTGAACTGAATATTTATGAATGTTGGAATTCATATATTTATTATATTTTCTCTTTATGGATAGATATCATCAATTAATTGCTAACAATGAAAAGGAAAAAAAAGTTAAACAGATATCTAACTCTACAAACACAACTTTGGACATGATATTCGATACAGAAGAACTGGAGGAAGGTGAGAATTTACAAATTGAACAAGTAGTTTTCCTTGTTGATTTTTATTTGTTTGGTTTTTAGGAAGGGATACCACTTTCGCAAATAATATATAAATTTGAAATTTTCTCCTATTTTGAAATGCTAAGTATCTTAAGCACTATCCTTAAGACTATTAGTGATTAAAATGTTCTGACACTGTTGAGTGAAATGTAATATAAAAATATACTGAATAATTAAGACATTTTTATTTATTCTCTTGAATAGTTTAAAAAACACATTTCTGCATGAATATAGAGATTTCCAAAGATATAAAACTATTAGTATACTTTTTATTTTATTCTAAAATTACTTCACATAAATACATTTGTTATCAATTAATGGAATTGCAAGGAGCTGGACACAACTCAGTGACTAAACTACTACTAATATAACATATACTTAGTCATTCAGTTCCAGAGAGGGCAATGGCACCCCACTCCAGTACTCTTGCCTGGAAAATCCCATGGATGGAGGAGCCTGGTAGGCTGCAGTCCATGGGGTCCCTAAGAGTCGGACACGACTGACCTTTGTTGGAAAAGCAATGTCTCTGTTTTTTTAATATGCTGTCTAGGTTGTTCATAACTTTTCTTCTAAGGAGTAAGCATCTTTTAATTTCATGACTGCAATCACCATGTGCGGTGATTTTGGAGCCCAGAAAAATAAAGTCAGCCACTGTTTCCACTATTTCCCCATCTCTTTCCCATGAAGTGATGGGACTGGATGCCATGATCTTAGTTTTCTGAATGTTGATCTTTAAGCCAACTCTTTCACTCTCCTCTTAACTTTCATCAAGAGGCTCTTTAGTTCCTCTTCACTTTCTGCCATAAGGATAGTGTCATCTGCATGTATGAGGTTATTGATATTTCTCCTGGCAATCTTGATTCCAGCTTGTGCTTCTTCTAGCCTAGTGTTTCTCATGATGTACTCTGCATAGAAGTTAAATAAGCAGGGTGACAATATATAGCCTTGACGTACTCCTTTTCCTATTTGGAACCAGTCTGTTGTTTCCATGTCCAGTTCTAACTGTTGCTTCCTGACCTGCATACAGGTTTCTCAAGAGGCAGGTCAGGAGGTCTGGTATGCCCCTCTCTTTCAGAATTTTCCAGTTTATTGTGATCCACACAGTCAAAGGCTTTGGCATAGTCAGTAAAGCAGAAATAGATGTTTTTCTGGAACTCTCTTGCTTTTTCAATGATCCAGTGGATGTTGGCAATTTGATTTCTGGTTTCTCTGCCTTTTCTAAAACCAGCTTGAATATCTGGAAGTTCACAGTTCACATATTGCTGAAGCCTGGCTTGGAGAATTTTAAGAATTACTTTACTAGCATGTGAGATGAGTGCAATTGTGTGGTAGTTTGAGCATTCTTTGGGATTGCCTTTCTTTGGGATTGGAATGAAAACTGACCTTTTTCAGTTCTGTAGCCACTGCTGAGTTTTCCAGATTTGCTGGCATATTGAGTGCAGCACTTTCACAGCATCATCTTTCACCTAATCATTACATAAAACTTAAAATTAAGTAACAGTATTTGGGAAGAATTTATGTATATTGGGAAGAATTATGTATATATTAAAATAATTTTTGGTGCTTATTTTAAAAATACATACAATTATTTACGTTGTAAAACATAGCTTTTTGTGTATGTGTGTGAATATGTCTTATACTGACATATATATATATATTTAGAAATAACATTGGATAAACTAGAATACCATACATTTATTCTCTGTATTCACACAGCAACCACACTCCCACCTTACCATCCACTTAAACTTAAAAAAAAAAAAAAAGGTCAGAGAGCGAGCCTGATGAGATCATATAAATATCACAAGTTATTTAAATACACTCTCTCTCCCCTCAAATGTGTAGATATGATAGGTGAATAAATTTAAAAGATAATTTCCCTAAATTCCCCTTTTGTCAACTTAATCTCATACACTCTCTCATGAAATTTTTGCCTTTTTGGACTCTTGATCTGCATCTTTATATCTTCCTCTGCTACAATCTCTCTTCTTTAATGTACAGAGCGCTATATATAAGGAGTAAAGAATTTCTGTACTTTATACTTCATTTCTTTAGGGAAATAAAGCAGTAGAACCTTTAGAAACAACTCTCCTGCATTTCATGTATCTCCTGAGGGCAAACAATTCAAACCACCCAGAATCCTTTAACCCTGGCAATACACATTTTCAGTTTCTAGTGAAATTTTAATCTTTGTATGTGTCAAAGCATAACAGAAATAATAGGTCAAGAAATTATCAGAGGATACTGCAAAAGATGGCAAATTTAAAGTCATATTTTATCAGATGTAAAGGGGGTTACTTAATCATTTAAAAGTACTATAAAATTCAGAAGCACAAGTGCTAAACTATAATTGTGTTGTAGCTGAGGCATAGAATTTAAGAAATACACTTAGGAGTGAAAGTATCTGAACATAAATGAAGACATTAAAAATATCACTTGTTTTCTAGACATGTACACACATTTCTACAAATCCTTTGCTGCTGCCTTGGATTAGAAAAGTCTATTTTGGAAAAGCAGTTAAGTGAACTCTCACAGCATTTTTGCTGAGTAATCAATGAAGAGAAGTTTATTAAATGGAGAGCTGTTTTCACCTTAGAAGATGTGAACAGATTTCAAAAGACAAATGTCTATATTGTGATTCATCAGTTGAAAAAAAACAATTTATATTCAGTAAATATGTAGAGAAAAACTTTTGGTCAAAATATTAAATGAAATATTAGTAAAAGTAACCTTTGCAATATACTGTGTTAAGCATTTATTAAACTGAACCTGAAACAGTCTCTCAGTTGTGTCTGACTCTGTGACCCCATGAGCAGTAGCCTGCCAGTCTCCTCTGTCCATGGGATTTCCCAGACAAGAATACTGGGGTGGGTTGCCATTTTCTTCTCCAGGGGATCTTCCTGACCCAGGGATCAAACCCCGGTCTTCTGCATTGCAGGCAGATTCTTTACCATCCGAGCCTTGTATTAGAACATTCAAATAAAGTGAAAATGTTGAATAAAATATAAATAATCCTGTGTAAATGGAAATTACACAGGACTTTAATTTATAAAGACTCTCATAGTAAAGCCTTTTTGATTTTTTAGAAATACTATATTAGTACATATAAGAAAATTTGGGTATTATATCAAAAGTGAAAGTTGCTCAGTCATGTCCGACTCTTTCTGATCTCATGGACTGTACAGTCCATGGAATTCTCCATGCCAGAATACTGGAGTGGGCAGCTGTATGGAATTTTGACATGGGGTATCTTGTTTAAAAAAAAAAACAACTAGATAGGATAGAGAAAGTAGTTTCATACATAATAAATGAATTTGTGTTTACTACCCACTGTTGGGGGGAGGGGATACATACTTTAAAACTATGTTGTAGAGCAGATATAGTACAACACTATTTGACTTGAGTTTAATTGCAAGCTTTTATTGTTTTTAATTCTCCTAAGTATTTAAAATCTTAGAATGTTATTATACTGAGAGTTCCTTTCTAGTGTGTCTGGTAATATCTAAAATAGAGCATATATTTACTCTTCCTTTAGGAAGTTAAATGACAGAAAACACCTATTTAATATATATATATCCAACTTTAGGTGAATATTTAAATTTCCTCTAGGCAGCCATATAAGCAAACTACTTTTCTCACTCATGTAGACAACCTTGGAGGCACACATTTCTTTATGATTGAACTCTTCAACCTTCATCCTTCTCCTTCTCATCCTAACCCAAATAGGGTGATGCCATAAGTTGTGCAGATTTAGGCCATCCACTTGGAGGGAAAAGGTAGAACTGGCTAAACCATGTGCCCTGACACAGCTCTGTGCCAAAGGAAGAAAGGGCACATTTTTTCAGTTTTCAAGGGTATTTCTAATGGGTTAGGGGTGGCCCTGTCTTAGCTCCATCATAACTTTTGCTGAATTTGTTCCCTTGGTTATCTCTCTAAAACTATAGCCTCTGCAGGCATCTGTAGTCTCCTGGGCTGCCCTGCTCTCTTCCAAAAACCCTTGGACCATCTCTTTTCCTGGACTACTGATCCAACTTGTTTTAACCTCATTTCCATATAAAACAAGTCCTTCCCAGTTTTGATTGTGGCTATCATCTTTTTGTGTTTTTTCTAGTCTTCTGTTGTTAAAGAGTCACTTCCTATGCTCATTGATTCCACTCTTAGCCCCTCTGCTCCTTAGTTTTTCAACTTTTCTTACTGCTACATTCCTGAATTACCATCATGGAACACAAACTATAGGAACTTGGGCAAGAATCTTAATCTTAACCTTTCTGAACTTGTTTCCTCATCTGAAAAACTTATTGTGAAAGTAAATGAGAATGAAATTATTCAGCACAGTAGCTGATAAAGAGTTGTTGCTTATAAAAATGTTAGTGTATTTTCCTTTAGCTTTGGGTTGAATAAATAAAGCTGTAACCACTTTCTTTTTTCTTCTACTGGTTTTCTTATTCTCTTGGGATTACTTTTCCAGTTCCGTGCAGACCTTAATATAAAACTCACCATACACTCTGGCTTTCACCAGATTTCATGTGACATCAGATTTTTCATTATTTTCCTACTTCGACTATAGAGTTTTAGCATATTGTGTAGTAGATTGTAGAGCTTCCCCGGTGGCGCAGTGGTAAAGAATCCGCCTGCCAATGCAGGAGACTCACATTTGATTCCTGGGTCAGGAAGATCCCCTAGAGAAGGGAATGGCAACCTACTTCAGTGTTCTTGCTTGGGAAATCCCATGGACAGAGGAGCCTGATGGGCTATACTTCATGGGGTTGCAAAAAGAGTTGGACGCAGCTTAGAAATGAAACATACAATAACAGACTGTAATATTGTTCAGCAAATATCCACTCTTTCTCCCTGACCCTATTTCCTTTCAAACTGACTTGGTTTGATCATGTGACTTCCATGGATGGGAGTGACAGGTTGCCTTTTTCTTGCAGAAGCCCATTACCCTCTTTCACTCTTATCATCCTCCATAAGAACATCATGCTTAGATAGCAGCTACCTCTTCAGCCTGGGTCCCAGCA